CCCCAAAACCCCAAAACCCCTAAAAAAATCATTTAAAAATTTTTTAAAATCTAATTTAATAATTAGGTAGCAAGTTAAAATAATAAGAAATTCAATCCTATAAAAAATTTTCAAGATTAACTTCTCCATTTAAGACTCTTTGGTCGAATCCATGGGGATCCCAAGCTGGTCTTGATGAGGAATCTATCTCTCTAGCATGCTAATTTCCAGCTGCTAGTTGATGATTACTTCCTCCAATAACTTCTTAGCACTCCGGGCACCTTGCTTTTTCCATAGCTCCTCCACAGTCTCCAATAGCATAATAATGTCCGTTTTTGCATTTAAACCATTTGCCACCAGAAATACCAATTGCTTTTCCAAGACTCTAAATAAAATCTTTAAAGTTCATGGATTTATCAACCTTTCCAGCAAGTAGCTTACACTTTTCTAGAAAATCATCACTTACAACAAACTTTTTAGATTTCAAATCTTTAATGTATTTTAAACATTTTTTCTCCAAATTATTGTTCTATATAACCATTTACCATTGGACTTAGGACAGATATTTAAAGTAAGAAATCAGCAATTAAATCAACAATAATTTCCTTTCAAGGTTATGAAGAGCTATTGATGTCTTCTTAGGAATAGAAAGTTTTTTCATCCACTCCTCAAGAATCGGCATGCCTTCAATAACATAATGTTTAGTGCATTCTTTCAAAAGATTTTTCAATTATTCATAGGCTTATTTTAAAGAATTCTCTTTGCTTTAAAGCTGGTGCTATTGGTCTTAAATTTTCAATTTAAGGATATTAATATCATTTAGTACACTGTTTATTCTATTTTAGTATCTTGAACATTTTCTTATAGACTGCTTGCATCTAGGACATTCTGGAAATTTAACAAAGGTTGCATTGTTTTGGTTGAGATCATCATCTTTTACTTCCTCTTTATCTTTTTGATTAATCCAATAATCTAAACTTGTTGATTCGAAGATGTGCCCGCAATCAATTTCTACAAATCTAGACTATTCATCATCTTCTGGCCCAAAAAATATTTCGAAAGTCTCATGATTGGGATTGCATTATCTGCAGACATTTGGGCATTTATCTCCACATAATCCAAGACATGGATGACCACATTACAATAATTTTTGGCAAGATTAGTCGCATATTTTTCTATTGCAAGGCTCATGACACTTTTTACTACATTGGGAATGAATACATCCAATCTCGCAAGGCTCGATGCATAAATCACAAGGAATTCCACATATTTTTTTGCATTTTGAATGAACACATTTAGTTTCACATTGAGAAGAGCAAGAACTGCAATCTTTAACACAGTTATCTTTGCATTAATGACCACAGAATAGGATTCTCTAGCATTTTTAATCACAATTACCATGAAAATTGTTTTTCTAGCATTTTCCACAATTTTCTGAGCAAGGATGTCCACATTCTAAAATTTTACCACATTATTTATAGCATCCATTTTTTTGTTCAAAATCAAAAGGATCCTCAATGCATTTTAATTCAATAGCATGCTTACAAGTGGGTAAGATCTTATTTACATATTCTGTACATTTCTCTTTAGAACAATCAAATGAACATATTTTTGTGCAAAAATGTCCACAATCTTTAACTAAATTGCATTGAGATTTGCACTTGGCAGTATATCTTTCAAAACATTTGACGGTATTAATATGTCCACATTAGCCCATTTGGACTTAAATATTCTCTGGACAGTCTGAAAGTTTTTATGCACATTTAAAGCATTAACTTTTACAAAGATGACCACATGGATTTGCTCTTTCGCATAGCTTTAGACATTTTTGTTTATCATGTCCAGTTTTGTCTGTTTCTGTTACCTCATAATTGTGGCAAAGTCTTTCACATTTGTGACCACAAGGTAATCTAGTATCACAATTTTCTAGACATCCTCCTTCTGGAGCTGTTTAGAAATCCTATGCTTATTTTATGAGTGTATGTTTTTTATGATTATTACAACAAAGTTTCAATTCATCTCTAAGATAAGATAAAACTCTATGCCAAAGATGTCCCTACTCATCTAGCTTCTTGATATCTTACTATTCCAGACATTTTGAATTCCCAAACATATAAAACCCTTACTTAGCTCTTGACAAAGCAACACAGACTCTGTTACTAACTTTTAGATAGCCAATATTATTTTGAGCATTAGACCTAACTAATGATAAGATTACAATATCATTCTCTTCACCTTAGAAATTATCAACAGTAACTACTTTAATTTAGTTTATGGGATCATCCTTATGATACTATTGCTTAACTAGCTTTTTAATGTAAAAAGATTGGCCTTAATACAAGGATAAAACTGTAATTTAAGTTGGTTTATAGTTTTATTATATCAGATAGTTGCTGAACTTGATAATGATTTCAGCTTCAAATTTATTCAGTTTTGAGGATAATCCATCATCCTCTGATTCGAATTAATTGTGATTCATAAAGAATACATTCTTGTCTAATCCTTTGATAGCTGGGTAACCTTTGACTTTATAATCATCTGTTAAACTAGGGTAAAGGAATCTAATCATCTTTGAAATTTCTGGTCTCATTCTTCTCTAATTTGTAAGAGTAGTGTATTCAAAATCATTCTTGACCAGTCTTTCAAACATGGACATATGTAAATTGTATTACTTCTCCATTTCGTAAACAGCTGGTGAGGGTCTTAATTACTGATGATCTCCAATTAATACCAAATGTTCAGTTTTTTAACTAAGAGCAGTTAAAATATGACCCTCAAATACTTCAGCTGCTTCTTCAACTATTACAATTGGGAAATTAACATCTCTTAGTAATTCACTATTTTTTGCACAGCCAGTTGTAGTCATAGCTACTATGTCTGCTCTCTGAATTGCTTAACAATAAGTTATACTTTATAGGCACTTTTTTCTGTGATATTTAATCTTATAACTTTAGATCAGCTAAGAAATTTCCTTGAAGGAAGAAGAATCATAGGGATCTGCATAGTAGTTGTTAAGCTACCATCTTCTTTCTATTCTTTGGTCAAAGAGAGGAAAATCTTTATTATTAAGTTTAGTGGTTGAACCTAGTTATTGACCTCTTCTAATACATTCCATTTAACTAACTAACCCTTTGAAGAAATCGGAAGTAAAATTTGAGCTAAAAAGTCTGGAAAGATTAAGGTACTTCTATTTCATATATCTGATTTCTTGCATTCTACTTTTATATGATGTATTTTCCTCAATCATATCTTCATATTCTAATTCTCTCTAGTTTAAATCATCTTCGTTGTAATCAAGAGTATAATTTTAGATATAGTTACCATTCTTAATCTCATCTCTCAGAGAAAGAAGATACTTTTAAATATCAATTAATCCTAACCAAAATAATA